TATGATATTTATACAATAAAGTATTTATACAACAAAAATTATTTAAATATATATTTAAGAAATTATTTACCCTGAGTCCAGCCCCGAGAAAATCGTTCGGAGTGCTAGTTAACTTCGAGATCACTATCGGCTTGGTCATCTTGATCGCTTTCTTCTTCTTCATCTTCTTCCTCGGAATAATACTGCGAGGGTGGCGATAAAACATCTTCTGAAAGTGAAGTATGAGAAGATGAAGGAGGTCGAGAACCTTCTAATTTTGTGTCCAGGTCTTCCATTGAGGTACTTGGTCCAGGAATGGTCACTGGTATAAATTTTTCCAAATCACCAGATGCTAATTCTAATAAGAAATATAAAATAAAATTTATATAGTGAGCTAGAAAATTGTTTAATTATAAATAATACGTACGTTCCACATATTTTTCCAAAGATTTTGGAACCATTAATTTGGCCTTACGCAAATTTTCTTCAGTGCATTCTCCTTTTTCTAAACCTATTTAAATATTACTTTTTTTAATCAATAAGATTAACAGATATAATTCAATTAAATATTTAAAAATATTAAAATTACATACCGAAAGCTAAACCCATTTGCTTTAAAACTTCAATGTCGTCGTGAATTTCAAACTTATCGTTAAAATTGAACAGGTACTCGGTTCTGTAACAAGTACATTATTAATCAAAATACAATAAATATTAATAGCAACAATTATTTTTTTAAATTACTTGTCATTTGAAATGCTGCAATCTATGACAGTCTTTTTGCTAGTATTCACAATCAGGAATGGCAGCTGAATGGCAGAATTGGTTTTGGTGGGCCACGCAGACTCTCATTGGCACGATTACGTTCCACTAAATTTTTAAAAGAGATATGCGAGAGAATCAATTGATGTAATTGTTGTGTTTTCATTTTAATTCTCTCGATTTTCTTTTTTTATCTTTTTCAAGTGCCAAACATTCCTGAAGAGAATTAGTTGGTAGACCTAACCACCTGATTTCTTTCTTTTCTTTTGAAATAATATTCATTGCCATTAAAACGTTCAAAGCATCATAAACACGTCTTCTAATATTTTTCTGATCGTATTGCTAAACAAAATATTATATATATTACAGTTAGTTCTTTATTTTTTTATAATATAATATAAATAAAAAGAATAAGAAAAATACCTGATCTGTTAACGAATTTATATGAGCAGGATTAGTAAATTCTCCAACAAGTTCATCCGCAACTTCATTGTACGACGTCGTTCCCTTCTTTTTGACTTTTTCACAAACTTTCATTGAAAAATGACGTAATCCTTTACCTACTTTTTCTGTTTTTCTTCGTTTACTGTTAAAAAGATAAATATATTATAAATATATAAAAAATCAATATTTCAAAAATATTTAATTCTTTTAAATTAAATCTTATTTATTCAAATAATTAAAAAAAAAATTTATCTGCATATATTTATAAATTTATAAATTAATCATATAAAAATATCAATCATATGAATAAAAAAAATATTTTAAATCCTTACTCTGGTACAAAATCACCACCCTCAACATCTTGTCTTTTTCTGGAACCACTATGATCCAATATTGGACTGATATACGTTTTTCCACTTGCATCTTTCACAATTTGTTGATTAGCAGATTGTTGTTGTTGTTGCTGCTGAGATACTATTGCCTGCTTTATATCACTCTACATAGGAGAATAAAAATTATTTATTATATATTTTTTAAGTTCCTAAATTTTAAAAAGTTTATTTTTAAATTTTGATTATCTTTTAAAAATATTCAAGAAATAATTATTTAATAAAACATACCATTTGTGCAGATGTTAATTGTATAGTCTTGGTCAGTACAGGTTCACCAGCCTTGGTTGTTGCCAATTTTGTATTTTGTAATGGTATTGTAACCAACCTAAAATAATTATAAAACATTGTATTAATATTTTTTATTTTAAAATTAAATAATATATGAGAAGATTTAAAAAAATATTTATTTTAATGTTTTATCACAAAAAATATATAAAAGAATATATAAAATAAAAATAAATGAAAATAATTATTGAAGAACATACTTTGACCTGGAGTTGAAGGACTTTGCAGACTGATAGTTCTAAGAACTTGTGCGTTAGATGACAAAACCTAAATATCAAAAAAACATATTATTGAATTCAATAGTAAAATAAATAGTTAAATTACCATCATAAAAGATTATAATGAGGTTATAATTATAATTAAAGGTTAAAAGAGATTCAGAAAATAAGTTAAAATTCTTATAAATATATTATACCTGAGATTCTTGGCTCGGAGTCTTAAAGACTTTAAGGCCACCTGCATTTGTTGTACTGACGATACCGCCCAATGCTTTATTAGCTGTACTCTGTACTACTTTTATTACTTGTGGATGACCTAAAAAAAATATTATTATTTTAATTTAATAAACAAATATATCATATATTTATTTTAATATCTTAATTTTTTATAAATTTAATAAAAAATAAAATTTTTTAATATACATAATAAATTCTACAGATTTATAATACAAAGGCAATATAATATTAATAACAACTTATAAAAAATTTAGATATTTGTTAAATTTAAACATTAAATGTCAATATTAAACACAGATATTTCAGATTATTTATTTTAATTAAATTATTTTAACTAAATTAAATAAATAAGTAAACAAGATTTTTGTTTCAATAAAAGTATTAAAAAATAAGAGTGATTTTTTTATCTAAGTAATCAAACAAGTAAATATATACATTCTTTAACAATCTAAGATAAAATAACTTTAAAACAAATTATTTTTATTTGTCTAATAATAGAAAAGAAAATAAAAACATTTTTCCATACATTCAATGCAAATAGCTTACAAAGAAATAGAGCATAGGATTAACATGAATATGGAAAAAAAAGAGCCAACACGGACTCATAATTAATAAGAGTTAAACAAAAAATAATAGAAACATAAGCATGAATCCAGGAACAAGATAACAATATTAAAACTGAGTGATCTTAAGGAAAATGAAAGAAAATTAAGACATTATTATCGAAGTAAGGCATGCTGATAATTGGCGCGCACTCGGCATACTCACCGTTCGCGTCATGTATGAGAAAGTTCATCGTTTTGTTTTGTTGCGTCATCCTCGAGGTTAGAATTCCGTCCCGGCGTCACCGACGATCACGACGATCGACCGAATGCCGAGTGAAAATAAAAAGATCATAGGTACACTCGCTAATCTTGGCTCGGTCTATCACCAAAATGGCGACTATGATATAGAACCATTTGAGAACAGAATTTAACAATATACCGATCAAAAAACGTCTTATTACACGCACAAAAGTAAAATTCAGCCGTTTTTTTATCGTACTAATATAACCATTTTAAGAAAACGTTCATTTACTTGCAAAAATATCACACGAAAATCTAGCTTCCGCGTGCACAGTACAGAATAGAGACGAGCTTGGCGGCACGACAAAGTTAAACAGCTGATTGGTTACCTTCTCAGTCACGTGGTCTCTTCTGTTCCACGTTTATGGGCACTGTAATCTCTGTAAGAAAAACCTGTTTCTAGTGTTATAAGATGCCAAACACTACTATCGGGATTTTATTTTTAATATTGGTAATATTTACTTGTCAATGCCCAATAAATAATATAAATGTAAAGACTAATAAATCGAAAGAAAAGAATGCATAATGTATCACAATTATAAATTATATTTATAATTTAATTTAATTTAAATAATTATAATTTTATATAATTTATAATGATTTTTATATTCATAAATTTGATAATAAATAAGTGGAGTAGAAAAGATTATTTTAATTCAAATATTTTTTTATTTTCCTTTTTTATAATTTCAATAAATTTTAATTTTAACAGAAATATTTAAAAATAATTATTATATATTTTTAATGAAAATTTTCTTATTATTTACTTTATTATTAATTTTGAACATAATTAAATTTATATAACATAATTAAATTTAGATGTCTAAAAAATTATATTGAAAATTATATTGGGAGTCATATGATAAAATTATAAATTAATAAAAATATAAAAATTTATATTTTATTGATTTGCTTAAAAAATTATAGATTATGCAAAATTTTCGCGCTATATGATTCAATATATATGTAATAATATATTAATTAATATATACATATATTATATTATAATATTATATATAATATTATATATAAAATAATCCTACAATAAATATTTTTCATGCTTTAGACATGATTAGAATATGATTCATAGTTCAAAATAATATTAAAATGAGATTTTTTTTATATTTATTAAACTGAAATATTATATTAATATATTTTTTTAATATATTTAATTTAACTATATATAAAAAAATAATATAAAAATTAATTCATTCAAATAATAAGATTATATTTTCATTAAACGAATTGAATTTCTATTTTATTTTCAGAGCTTTCTAATTGGTTGAAACAAAAGTTTCTAGATTGTCAAGACCAATAATATTTTTGCAGATTCGGCGTTAGTCGTGAAAGAATTTTGATAAGAGACGTCATAGAATCGTGCAATTAATCAAAAGTTTTCAAAGACAAATATTTTATTATAGTATTCTTAAAAAAAAAAATTATATTACAGTGCATAAAATTGAAATCTGTTATTGATAGAGCTGTCATAATAGTATAAATTGTATTTTTAACACAAAATATTAAGTTGAAAAGTAGTTGCCTTATATGTGTGTTTTTAAAAGAATCACATAGAATACTTCGAACTGAGGCTGAGGGTTCGTTTAGGGTTTGACTGAATGGTAAGATTATTTTAAGCCTTATAAGACGATTGAAACGCTCAGGTTAAACGTTTGTTATCCCTTTAAATGAATTCATATTTTTGCAAGTCACAAATTAACTTTTTTTAGTTTTTTCAAATTGTTAAATTTTTTTTTATATTATTCATCTCTTTTATAAATATGTATAAATTTTGAGTTACTTTGTTGATTTCTTTTTTTTTTTACCTGAACCTTTCTATCGTCATTGTATCGTTAATCGACTTAATACACGACCTCCATTTTTGTTGCAACTATTTCATTCGGCATATTTCTTACAGTGTTTCTTGATTCAATTATTTTTTAAATCATTTTTTGAATTTTTAAATGCATTTCTACGAAAATCAAAATTTAGGTTAAATCAAATGTATATTTTCAAAAAGAAGAATAGATAAATTAATATTTATAAAATCATGTTTGATGATAATAGGTCCTAGATTCTAACAAATTTGACATTTACATTTACAGATATAACCTGAAGAAATATGTTTAACATAATTTATTGTAAAGCTTTTGAGAGAAATATTAGCAAAGTACATTGTATAATAAAAATTCTTTATATGAATATATAAAAAAAAAATATAAAAATATTTAAAAAAAAAATTAAGCTATTGTAAATTTAGAACATGAATAATAGAATAGAACAATTTTTATACATAAATTCTTTCAATTTAGAATTTGAAATATTCATCAATTAAATCACGTAATTTTTTAACGTAAATTTTATATAATTTTTATATTCATCTATACTTGTTTTTAATTTAATTTTATTATATATTTGTATATAAAATATCAAAATGAAAAATCTTAAAATTATATATATATATATAATTACAATATTAAATGTAGTATATGTAAAATATTATCAAATAAAAAATCTTAATTTTTTTTATTATTTTTATATATTTCATAAGGTCTGTACATTGTGAAAAATATGCCTCTGTTCGGAAAGTCTCAAAAGAGTCCGGCGGAGGTGGTGAAAGCTCTTAAGGAAGCAGTAAATGCATTGGAGCGTGGTGATAAGAAGGTAGAAAAGGTATGTTGTGAGGCTACATTTCGGTTTCTATGACGCAATACGTTCATTTTTAGGCTCAAGAGGATGTCAGTAAAAATTTAGTACATATAAAAAATATGCTTTATGGAACAGCTGAAACAGAACCTCAAGCAGATATTGTTGTTGCGCAATTGGCGCAAGAATTGTATAATAGTAATTTGTTGCTTTTACTTGTGCAAAATCTTAGTCGCATAGATTTTGAGGTATGTTTAATAATGAATGCATTAATAATAAATATTATAATATTAAATTATAAATTTCAAAATAATTTTATATAAAATATAATTATAGAAAATAAATTTATCAAAATTATATATTGTACTTTTATATAATATTCTGTAATACATATGTATAGCTTTTTATTATTTATTTTTTCTTATTTTATTTAAAACATATCTTTAATAATCTAATAATAATATTTAATAAATATTTTTTATTAGGGAAAGAAAGATGTTGCTCAAGTATTTAATAACATATTACGGAGACAAATTGGAACCAGATCTCCAACAGTAGAATATATATGTACTAAACCAGAAATATTATTTACTCTTATGTCTGGGTAAGTTCTCAATTTTTTTGGTATCCATATATAATAAATGATATCCATATTTTATCTTTTATTTTGTACTGTATAAATTAATATTATTATAATATAATTTTTAATTAATTATGGAATTTATATATAAATATTTGAATAAATATTTCAATTCATAATTATAAAAATTATAGGTATGAACACCAAGACATTGCTTTGAACTGTGGCACTATGTTAAGAGAATGTGCAAGATATGAGGCCTTGGCTAAAATCATGATCTATTCGGACGACTTTTACAATTTTTTCAGATATGTTGAAGTATCAACTTTCGATATAGCTTCCGACGCATTTTCTACATTCAAAGTAAGATGATAAGCACATAATATATTATATTTTAAAATAAAGTATACTTGATGCATCTGGTACATTTGTTTTTAGGAATTACTTACCAGGCATAAAATACTGAGCGCAGAGTTTTTAGAATTAATTATGATAAAGTTTTCTCTCATTATCAAAGGTTATTGAATTCAGAAAACTATGTTACGCGACGACAGAGTTTGAAACTACTAGGAGAACTTTTACTTGATAGACATAATTTTACTGTATGTATAATTATTATTAAATGTCACATGTATGCAATTGTAAGATCATATTGATTAAAAAATCTTTAAATTTTAGGTAATGACACGGTATATTTCAAATCCTGATAATCTGAAATTGATGATGAATATGCTTAAAGAAAAATCACGTAATATTCAATTTGAAGCGTTTCATGTGTTTAAGGTATATTTATGTAATTTAACTCATTATTATTATTTTTATTAAAAAATAATTAAAAAATTTGTTTATAATTTATTAGGTGTTCGTGGCGAATCCAAATAAACCAAAACCAATTTTAGATATATTATTGCGCAATCAGGAAAAATTAATCGAATTTCTGACGCGCTTCCACACTGATCGTTCCGAAGACGAACAGTTTAATGATGAGAAGGCGTATCTTATTAAACAGATTAAAGAGCTTAAGTCTGTACATGAAAATTAAATTCAAAATATAAATTATTGCTACAGCTATCGTTAACTACTACTATTGAAATCTATACAGCTGCTATTGCTACTGTTACACCATCACAGTCACCGATATAGCAAACTACCATTATTTTCTTCCTATCTTTCTGTCTTTTACTATCCCTTTCTTTTACTTATTACAATTATCATTGATCGATTCATAATGACACGATTATCGTCATCATTATCAATATCATTATCATCATCATCGTCATTATCATTATCATTATCATTATTGTTATCATTATCATTGCCATTGTCATTATTATTATTATTATTGTTGTTGTTATTATTATCATTATTATCACCTTTGTGATTATTATTACTAATTTTATTAATATTATAATTCTTAGTATTAATTTTTATGATTATTAATATTTATTATTATTATTATTATTATTATTATTATTATTATTATTATTATTATTATTATTTTAATTATCATCATTATCATCAGTATTATTATCAATATTAATTATCGTCGTCGTAATCATCATCATCATCATCTTCTTCATTACCATCTTCATTATTATTATCATTATCATCATCATCATCATCATCTTCATTACCATCTTCATTATTATTATTATTATTATTATTATTATTATTATTATTATTATTGTTGTTGTTGTTATTA